GCCTCTCGAGATTGATTTACTCATACGGCCTACGTATCAAAAGCTCAAACATGTTCAGTAAATCTGGCAACGATGATGCAAGGAAGCCTGGAGAGCTCCCTAATTCGTGGATTGTTACGGAGCGTTACTCATCACAGAGCAATCAAAACCAGGGAAGCCGACCCATCGTTCCATTCGTTAATGCGTTCAGGATAAGAAACGTCCCGATAAATCTTGCGCCAAGGCCAACGAAGCGACGAATTATTTTTGTTTTCACCTTCTCCCGGCCCAGAAGAGCACCTTCCACAAGAATTTGTTGCGCTTCGGCATACCCTTCGCAGACATGTTTCATGCTTTATGGTCTCCTAACAGTGCGTTACCGTAACTTGTGGTGGAGGTCGTGTAACGAATCAACACTTTCAATGCTTTCTAATTTCGAATTCGATTTAAATCACGATTTTATGAGTCACTTTCGATTGAGGCGGTCTATGTATCCTTGCGTTGATGTCGGCTAGGCAGCAAATAAATTCGTTCCGGGATTTAAAAAACTTCATATTATGGTGTGCCCTCCGGACATATTTTGCATTTTTATTTTCGTTTTCGATAAGAAAATCTTGGCCTAAGTAGAGTGCATTTTCAGTGATAATTTTTAATCATAAACATTGAAAAATAAAGGAACAAACCGAAGTTATTTCATTCATTTTATATTGAGACACGTTTGCAGGTGTCTTTTTGGGGTTTGGAGCATTATCCCGATCCTCTGACGTAAGAGCATGAATAAACTGTTGTATGGATCCTGGAAGGCATTAAGTTGTCCGGAAGATGAACATCACTCAAAATTGAAGTTGTGCCCTTACTCTACTGAAACGACGATTTTTCGTAAGAAACATAGCTTCCAATTTAATTTTACGAGAGGTCCTAAAAATACTTATTTGTACTCTGCGTCCAACTAAAACGTAAATGTTTTAATCCAGAGCTCATTATAATAGGAAAAAGATATAATTTACGGTAAGAAAAATACGTAGAAAATTGTAATAAATGTAAATAATTTTGATTCAGAGTACCAAAAAAATTGGCGTATTTCTTCTTCGGTAACGCACTGGCCTCAAGCACACGAAATACTGGGTAGTAGTGGTATGATAATTTTATTTTTAAAAGGTGCCCTACATTGGCGACCGCATTTACACCTGTTCTGATAAAATTTGATAGAAGGGTGTTTTCAAGTACGAAATGTATTAAAATGGAGGATACTAGGAAGAATATAGAATAAAAGAAAATAATAATAGAATACTTAAAAACCATTGCAAAACTACGAATACGTTAACCGTCTAATCATCTGATTTAATACTTTAATATTTTAAAGTTACATTTAATTGCTTTCAAATAAAGTAAATACCATCGTAGTATTTCATCGTAGTTTTACATCGTAGTACCATCGTAGTTTTTATCGTGGATTACACTTGCTTGTCAAATTAGCTATTGTTCTATTTTCTAAATATTCTGATACTTACAGTCGTTCGAAACGCTATCATAATGGGAATTCTGGAAACTCCATTCACGATTGTTGCTTTTGGGAAAGAAAGCACGACTCAAGGACTCAACTTCATTTCTTCAAAAAACCGAATATAAGGATTGTTGCCAAAAGACTTCGAAAGCTGAGATCCTGCTGATCATTCACAGTGGTTAATTTTTTAAATATGATGTATAATTGACAGCATTGGTGTGAATGAAGGTGAAATTGAAGGCAGTTTTCCGCCGAGTGAGAGATGGGAGCGAGGCACGAGAAAAGAGGAAATTAAAAAGGCTCGAAAACGGGCGGGTCGAAGTCTTGGGCACACGGTAAAATATGTAATTACCGTGAGAGATTTTTCAATAAGGCGTGAGGGCGCGAGTCTTTGTGTCCAAAATTGAATATGAATCACCTGGGGCTCAACTGCTCCCGCGGTTGGTTGTCAAATTTAATGAAAACTTACGATTTAAATAATAGTTTGTTGAAATGAATGTCAGTCACCAGATGATAGGTTGCCTAAGAAGGTTCTGGATTGGGTCCCCCCTGACAGAAAGCGAACAGGACGCCCTGCCAAATTGTGGATTGAGGGAATAAGACAGGAAATGAGGAGATGCGATCTGCCGGAGGATCTCTGGCAGGATCGCTATCAGTGGCGGTTGGGTGTCGCAGAGCGCACAGAAGCGCTATAACAGCGACTTGTTAGTTATGTCAGTCACCTACGATTTAAAGAATAAACTTTTGGAATGAATGTCAGTCACCTATGATTTAAAGAATAAACTTTTGGAATGAATGTCAGTCATCTAGGTAGAAGGCCTTGGGAATGTTCGATCAGTATTATTGGACCGGAGGCTATAACCGCAGAGAGTTTGAAAGTTCTATTGATTAAAATTCTTTAAAATTTTAAGTCTTTTAACTCTCAATAATTTTAATCCTTTTTGAATATTTTAAATTCTTTAAATTGATTACCAAAATGGGGATAAGGGAAGCTCACACTCAGTGTATTTATTTTTATATTTTTTATTTTTTTATTTATTTTTTTTTTTAAATTTTTTTTGTCACCTTCCGAGAGTTTTGCTTTCAGCCGTCAAGCTTACTGGACTACGGATACTTATTGTGAAGAATGCATTTACAGTAGAGTGGACACTCATCGAGTGGTTCTAGCAGCGTGGTTACTCCGAGAGTAAAACCATGAAAATTCAATTTTTCAAGTTGAAGTGATGTCCTAAAGCTCCTTCCGAATACCTTAATACACATTATTCATAAAAAATTCAAGTCCATTAATTACCCTAGCAGTTTAAAGAGTCAGTAAAATTTTTGAAATTTATTTTATCACTTGATGAGATGACATGGCAACCACGCAAAGCGGAGATTGAGAATTATTATAATTAGCTATAGGCGCCCTCAGGAAGCGGGCGAGAGAAAAATTCAATAAACGAATGGTGTGAGGTAAATACTTGTAAATAGTCAATTACAAGGCGCAAGAGGGTCCATGGGAGGTAGTTCAGTCCTCTTCACATGTGCCGACGGCCGCCGGCATCTTCCTTGTCCAAGTGAATGTTTCCCCAAGGGCTGATCGCACCCGCGCATGCATGGAGCTTCCAGTTTCCTTGACCCATCTAACGAATCCATAATCGATCGTAAACACTGGAAAAAAAAACACATTGGATCTAGAGTCCAGACTCTTGAAAACATTGACAGGAAAAAATACTGTTGATTCAATCGGATTGTTGCTTGAATCAAAACGAAATCCGCTTAAATTAAGAGGCTTGGCTCTTGATTTAAGCTAGATTCTGATTGAATCAAGAGTACTTTTTCTTGTCGATGTTTTTGAGAGTCTGGACTCTAGATCCAATGTGTTTTTTTTCCAGTGAACGTTAAAATTCTTCTAAATCCAAGAAAAAAAAGTGGTGATAGGCAATCCGATCACAGGATTTGAGGACACATCTATTGTTTGGATTCTGACGAGAGTGCAGCTAGGAATTGTTGTCAATAACTAAGATCGATAGACCCAGATCAGTCCGATCAGAAAGTTGAGTGTGATAATCTTTGGAAAACGACGGCGAGGCTGTCCACGTTGCCAGAAGATCCCCCCGATTTACTTGCCCCATTCTGCTGTTCCCCGATCCGACTGCATTGTCCTTATGCAGATCGGGGAGATTGGGGGAGAACTATGCTATATGGAGTAGCGTAAATCGGGGGAACGTTTGGAAAGGAGTGAAACGGCAAATCGGGAGAATTCGTCACCAGATCGCAAAATTCCAAAGAACATCTTGCTATCGGACCGGCCTATGGGTACGTCGATCTCGGCGAACAATGGCTCCCAGCCTAACGAAAGCAACCTGCAGGCTGATTATTGAAATTCATAGACAAAGCTTTAGACGAAGAGGACATAGGGAAATTAGAGCGATCCCATTGGTAGAAACTAGTGGTTCTTATAGACTAAGGGGGAAAATTATGTACTAATTACAGGGTCTCTTGTCAGTTTCAGTTAGTTAGTCTATTACCTACCTCTTTAATTTGTCCATTGCAACCACCCGCTTCTACCGACAGGAGTCCTCCAAATCCCTTTTGTCTTCTATGTCTAAAGCTTTGTCTAATCATTTCAATAATCGGCGCGCTGGTAGGAAACAAAAGCGCATTTAAAGCTCGTTCGGTGGATATAATCAAAGATCAAAGATATATTTTGATGGGACATTCTTTCTAGTCATCCATAAACAACTTCAGTTGCGCCTTCGAACGGTGTGTAAAGTTCTCCAATGCGTCCCAACATAATTTTACCAACCCAAACGAGCATGTATCAAAAACTGCTTCCATTATTTGAGCGCGATAAAGTCTATGCTATACAGCGCGTACACGCATGATGCTCCATGGTTGGAAAGTGATGAGCCAGTCTCCGCCGAATAGAGCCATAAAGCTGCGACCACTGTTATTTGCAGGGCAGTCGCCGTTAAAACCCCGCTACTTTTGTCTTCGGCGACACCCGAGCCATCCATCAATGACCGTTTTATGGTTTCGATGCTAACTAGCTAACCGCACGAGCAATTACCCGTCCTCGAACACAACTTGCGGACAGAAAAAAAGGCGCGCCTCCTGATCCCGCTCTGCAAACCCGCATATTCCCTCGCGAAGAAAGAGCTTTGCTCGTTCCTGATTGCTCGGCAGAGAACTCATTGGATCTCCATTAGGAGCTTTGCCAACTAGCCTGGAACGAGCGCACCCGTCGTTTCCAAATAACAGATACGTTGTTTTGAATAGGAACTGAGGACTTTCAGCCTGCCCGGGATTGTCCTGAAAAGTAAAAACAAGGCGATGGCAAGGAGACACACTTTTCTTTTTAATTGAGATCCCCTCCCTTCTCCTCTCTATCCCTGTAATTTCTGTCGTTTTCCTTTTCCTCTGCATTTTTTTCCAGGTGCGGTCGCCTCTCGGCCACTTTTACTGACGTCATTTTGGCCACATATAAAACTGCGCCCACTACATTTTTCTCCAGTTTATTGTTTGCTGGAATAGTTCCATGGAGTTTCCCGTCGCGGAGTTCTGGTATCTCCTGTGTCTGGTGTGTTTTTTAACGCGGTTCAAAGTTCAAAACATTGAAAGTCCCATTCTTTATGTGTAAGCGTGATAGTTAATACTTCAGTGTACTTACTTGTCATCCGTGCTTGTCGTGATTTTTAAGTAGAATCTAGTTTTTGATCCTTGATAAATCCCAGAGCTTTTTTCACCCCCCAGTTAATGTACATTTAAGGTATTCTTAACGCATGTGTTTTGAGTAAGATGCGACTAAACTGCACTAATATTGTGTGTTGGGAAGGAGCTTTTACAAGTGTGCCACACAAACGATGAATGCTTTACCAGTGGGTGATTATTGTTGTTAGGACGTCATGGGGCTGTCATTTAGAGCAATAAAATTCAGACTTTTGAGGGAAGACAATCGTACAGTGATGAAAATTGTACAGAAAAAATTACAATGTAAAATGAAACATGGATAAAAACAGCACAATTAAGACTCTAATGCATTCTTTTTTCAGTAAGGAATTAGTCTCTTTCCTCTCCTTCCAAAGTATGTTTTACCGCTTAAAATTGAATTTAAACGCTGCTTTAATACGAAAAACAAACATAAACGGTAAAAATTTATAAAAAGTAAACATTTTAAATTGTTGTAACATTTTTTTGCGAAATATAAGTTGATATGGAGACCAACCAATGCATTCATTAAATGCTGTTTCTCCGGTAGATAAGTGCGGTCATGCATGGTCAAACATGTCTGATTTGACTCTTAGCACTCATTTAGTGAAATTAAAGCATTTATAGCTCGTTGGAAACCTGCGAGTGTTTCAATTGGACTACATTCTGCAATTAGGAACTACAAGTCTACTCATCAGTAAAAATACTTTTGTGCTTAGGGAAACCGATGGTACATACATTGTTTCTAAACTGAGCCAGGTGTTATAGTCACAAATTGCAAAATATAGTCCAATTCAAATACTAGTTTCATTTTTTTTATTTTGCTGATCGTTGTACAGTGAAAAAGATTAAACTTGCTTGAGAATCAATCCATGTAGAGGCGTAAGGAGTTTTCATTACTTTTTCAGTAATATTACCCTTCCAACGTTTTTTTAGACGCAAATGCAGCTATGACCACAAAAGCTGAGATCACTCCTACAACGGCTCTCGGACTGCTTCTAGTCACTTTTTGCGTAGCCCAGCTTCAGGTTGAAGCTACGGAGATCACGCTGCTCGAAATTTCCAAATCGGTGATCAAGAGTCTGACCAACTGCGACGAGAAGAATGTGACTTTGAGTGTGTGCCTGAAGAAGAGGTCCGTGATCTTGCTCGATAAGTACTCGCGGGCCCCGGATCCGATCAGTTTGATGAGCGATTCTTTGAGTCTGGTGAAAAGCGAAGTCTCGGTGAATTCGACGGAGAGCAACCGGTCGATGGGCGATTCTGGTTTGACGCCGGAAAAACTGGACGAGTACCTGCCCGCGGAAGAAAGCTCTCGTCAGAGGGTGCTTGACGCTTTACTCGTGGGTTCCGTCTCAAAGTTTCTTCAGTCTCGATCTCTTCAAGTCAAGCTGCCTCAGTTTTTGGCCCGCTACATTAGTTCCGGATTAGACGAAGGTTAGTGCTTACTGAAAAATGGACCGAGCTCATCAGGAAGGAACCAACCCAAGAAGTCGAAACTGAGAAAGAGGTTTGAAGTTTTATCCCTGTATACACGGAACAAAAGTATCACAATCCCAACTTTACTCCTAGCTGATTTTAGCGCCAGATATTAGAGTAGTTGCACAAGCCAGAGGTATGGTTAAGTCAGCTGAAAGTGTGGTTGGATCAACCATATCTCTGTCTGGTACCCTCACAGTCAGCATAAATGTGGTTGGATTAACTTTACCGCTGGCTGGTGCCTTTACACTTTTAGCCAGTGCAACTACTCTGATGGCTGGCGTCAAAATCCGCTAGAAGTATAGTTAAGATGGTGATACCTTTTTTTTTAGTGAAGGCTCATTGAAAAAATTATCTTTGACCCCTATCTTCCCAAACTAATTTCTTTTTTCCGACTTTCAGGTTTTGGCAAGAGAAAATTTACGGTTCGTGAAACTCAAAAACGTTCTTAACTCAATTTTTTCAAAAATGTGGGATGGTTCCTTTCTGACAAACTCGGCCCAAATATGACTGAGTCGGACAAAATTTTCCTCAAGGCTTCATTGTTAAGTGCAGCAGAAAGTCGGTTTGGTGTGAAAGGATAGGAATTTTCAGTTTCGAATGCTGTACACTCCTTAATACTCTCCAGACTTTGCGTACGAAAGTTTCAAGACATAATTTGCATTATTAACGGGGTTAATTATCAGCGTTTGAAGTGAATTGTTCCAAGAATTGGCAAAAGCGGACGAACTTTGGCAGAGGTTTTCTCGAATTCTCTGTTTTTTGTCCTCTAGAATTGCAGCTTAAGGGCCAATTTTTGGAAGTTTTGAATTTCTTCCTTGAAAAATCCATCTCACCCCCTCCTTGAAGGCACATTTTGTATGACTCCGTTACAAATATTTGTTAAAAAATTTAAAAATAACTCCCTGTCAAGGGGTTAAAGTCTATTTCCATAAGATGAATGATTCAACGGTTATCGCCAAACTTCCTGGTAATAAAGCCACAAAACAAGTAAATATCTATACACGAGACAGAACACTGAGCCAAGAGCGATTGAAGATATCTGTTTGGTCTAAGGTGGTTTTCAGGGCATAATTATACATTGAAATAAAAGTACCTACCTCGCCCCCTCTAATAAAACAGTATTTTATTCTTTTTACCCTTCCTAAACATATACAACATCATTTGAAATGAACCAATGTTAATCTCCCTCATGAATTTCAAGAGAGTATATTGTACGTTTCTTTTTTTTCCAGAGTTTTTAGATTTATACCTCACCCTCCTTATTGGAATTTTGGCTCGATAATTTTCAAACCCGGCAAAAATAAATTATCCAATCGAAATCCGAATTACCTCTGAAAGGTATGACGTTTAATAGGAATCAAAATATAAATAGGAATAAGTTTTGTTTCTGATTAATGTGCTGTATGTTGATTCCAAATTAAGATGTTAACATTTTCCACTTCATCGGCGTGAAATTTCGTGATCTTACCGAACTGAAGTTTCAGCTGAGTCTGTATTTAAATACATACATTTTGAACATTGTTTGCAATCAATGTGTGATGTTATGAAGCTTTTTGAAAAACTCGAACGAGTCAATGAGATAATTTACAGTTGGTCCTGTTTTGCCAGCCATGTTCATAGTGTTCACCGTGATCTGTAAAATTCAACTTTTGCTGAATAGCAGCTCAAGGATGTTTGTGAGTTAGAGCATAAAATGTGATTTACACACTACCGGAGGTTTCCTCTCAAATTCCACAAATTTGGTCACGTGTCTAAATGCAAACACCCTTGGGCTCTCAATTTCTCTCACTCAGTGAAATATCTGCCGTGCATGTGAAAGAATTTGGAACACATCGCAGTCACGGCGTGAAAGATCATGACTCAAGCTAGCGGTCACCAATTAACACGTGGTTAGAAGTTGGACCAGCCAAGTGTTAATAGTGTTCACACGATAGACAGTTAGTGGGCAAATATGACTCCGATCTGCAGCCGGCCAATTCAGAGTGGTGATAAATCCTATTGCTTAAATTAGACGGCCAAATGAAAGGAATTCATTGTGCCTCAGCCTCAAAGTGGTTCCTTTCGAGGAGGTCGGGGTCTGGAAAAAATTACTGCTATTTTGTGCTTATCATCATATTTCTGTAGGTCTACAGCCTTATTATAATGGAAAAAAATTGAACATTGATTAAAGACCAAAAAGTTGCTGATGATAAATTAATTACATTCGAATCACTTATTTGTCCAGGGAGTAACTTGGTTTTTGGTACTTTGAAAACTTTAAGTTCGAAATTTTCAGCTTTCAGAGGTTCATTTGGATTTTTTGTATTTTTAATAGTTTTTAAAGAAGTAGTGAAAAACTTATTTTCAGAATGATCCTCGTGTTACAGCAGAGTGATGCTAAAACGTATACAGAATGAGTGGTGAAGAAAACTGAAAAATTAATTAAAAACCAGAACACCGTGTTTTTATTTTGGCCAAGATGAACTTAATATAATCATTTTAAACCATGGCGGTCAAAATAGGCGAAATTCCCTTGATTACTGCAAAGAAGCAAGTTTTTAATTTTTAAGCGTTATTAGAGCTAATGGTTGTCGTGGAGGGTAAAATCTTAAACTTATCTCTTCTTAAAATTGGAATTCTTATGTTTTTCAATTTAAAAATTTTCCAAAATTATACATTGTTAATCGATTCCATTCTCAAAAGAGAATTTCAATTCCAAAACAACGAGTTTACCATAATATTCATGCCTCCTAGGAGCACTAGATTGCTTTTATCAGTTAAAAGTGTACTCCATGGGTGGATGAACGAGGTGCTTTTTAGATTCTACTAATTAACTGATAATCATAACAAAATAATTGATGAATGTGAAATCACTACAGCCATGTGTAAAATTCATTGACAATATTTAAGTGGCAAGAGAAAGGCTAAACTTTAGAGATCAAAATCTACAGTTTCTCATTATGATTTACAAACCATAGTTTATGAGTTTTTCCCGAAACATGTATGCAGATATATTATCATTGACAATAATGAAATGAAGACGTTTCTTTATATAGTAAGAAAACGATGAGTACATTTTTGCTTGTGAATTTAAATTATAAAAACTGAATTACAGATGCTTGAAAATTCTTGAAAATCCATCAGTATATTTTAATTGTTAGTTGCGCACGAAGTAAAACGTATAATATGTATGATATCGTGCACAATGAGAGGCGGATGGCAGCGGTTTTAAGCTGGTCGAGCCGAACAATAGGCTCACCTAGTTCCTTCAGAAACCGCACTAGGCAATAGCTTCTACCGAGAAATCATCTGCGACGGTTATTGTCTACGAGCCAAGGCACTCTGAGAAACCGAAAACAAACGCAGTGAGGCTGTCCACTCAATGTTAAATACCTCGTGAACAAACTCTATCGCATCAAACTATACCACTTTGAATGAATAGTTTTTAAATGTATTTTGAAGGAAACATCTTCTGCCCAAGCACTGTAATTTAAAATTTATGACGTTACAAAGAATTCACTTGTGACGATTCTTTTTTTCCGACTTTATGGCAGACGTATTGCGTGATACGTAAGTACTACATTACTAGGTGGTAAAATGGTGTTGGGTTCGCACTATTTTGCGGGGAAAGCAAGGCCAAAAAATTCCAAAAATTTCAACTAGAGTAAAAATTCTGAGCTCTAACGAATATTTGTATAGTACCGAGAGAAGGAGAGTATTCAATTCAGGCAAGCACTACATTACTCAATACTACATGTAGTAGCATTTTTTCAACGGAGAAATTGCGATTTTTTCGGTGATAAAATCGCTAGGATCATCAACATCTGAGCGATCATCCTCGATCTCATCACTCGGAAATTTATCGCGATATTATCGAAATTAAAATCGCAATATATGGGGATTTAATCTCGATTTTATCGACAAATATTGATCGCAATTTTATCGAACCGAAAATTGCGATGCATAGCGATAGAATCGCAATATATCGAAATGTTTATTTCCATAATATCGCCATAAATTGCCACTTGATTGCAATATACAACTGACAAAATCGCTATTTATTACGATCATTGTTAAATTTATATTTTTTTTCTTGCGTATTGTTATAGATTTTCATTTTATTTTTGATCCTGTTTGATTTTTGCTCCCCCAAGGTCGAGGAAAAAAGGCGGAAAAGTACTACGGGGCTTTCATTCTGGGAGCGATGTTGGTGGCAGGGACATTGATCCCGATCAAGATGGGGACGCTCGCGCTCATGAGTGGAAAAGCGTTGATGACCAGCATGCTAGCCCTCACCCTTGCAGGGATTGTAGCTGTCAAGAAGCTCAGCGAGCAACCACCCAAACCTGGGACGACAACTTACGAGGTAGTTCTCAATTTAATACAGAAGGAAATGTATTTTATTCGGGGGGCTTAGAGGACAAGGCACATATGAGTGGGTTTTGAAAAAAATGAGATAATAATGATGTCAACCTAAGCTAGTCAAGAAAAATGCACAAACAATAGTCCGAATAATTAATCTAAAAGTGCAAGAAAATGGGTGACCAAAACTAAAAATAAACAAGCAGAATGCCTGGGAAGTTTTGGGGTGGTTTCAACCCCTTCTTCGGCCTGAGGACAAAAAATATAAAAAAATTATAAAAATTCATTTTATCACTTTTTGTGACCTAGTTGAGGAGGGGGTTAAATGCACTAAAACATTCGAGACATTCCGTTTGTTTGTTTTTAGTCTTGATCGCCCATTTTTCTTGTGTTTTTCAAGTACCTTAAAGCTAGTCTTAAAATATATTCGGCAAAAAATTACTATACTAAAATCTAATTTTTGCCAAGCCTGCACCTGGTACTGTCATATATTGCGTCTGCTCGGGATTCCAGTCTGCCATATCATGAAACGACCGCGCGCACTAATACGTGAACTCATTTTGAATATCAATGGTGAAACTGCAGAGATGCGTAACTCGGTTCGCGGCGTTGCAGACTTCCTGTGGCAATTTATTTTCTACGTGGAATTCTGCCGAACGTCATTTTTTTGAAAATTTCAGTGATATTTCCTCTCTTTGATAAAAGATTCCTCTGCGAAAACTTCAAACCATGATGTTTGGTCTCCTTTTAAATAATAAAATAGGAGCGGACATTTCGAAACACTGCACCCGAGATACGTATTTATGCAGTTTCAACGTCGATATATCATGCTTTGGATCATCATTGTATTAGCCTAGATGCTGATCGTCGTTAAATAAAATTAACTAACTAACTATATTTTTATTCATTGAGCGTTTTGCCTCGTGTATGTTTACAAGGTAATCAACGTCCCTGCAGGAGGGGGTGGTCACGGACATCACGGACGAAGTTTGCCACTTTCGACGATACCACCGGAGATCCTTGAATCCGCACATCTGCCCAAGATTGTCAGCCCTCAATCGGATACTGGTCCTTACTCTGCCTATAAAAGTTACGTTTATAATGACTCAGTCAATATGGAATCTGACTATGTCTCGTGATACTTGATATAGAGTCGAGCTATTTTGAACTGTGCGAATTTTAACTTTAAGTTTAATTTTCAATTTTAAACGTACTGATAATTTTTGAAGCATATGCCCGTTTGATCCCTACCTTGAAAACTTCTCGTTCCGTGATTCGCTTTTAAAAATAATGTTAATACTTTTTACACATTTTCAGCAGTCAGCTCTAAAATCAGTTGTCTTAGTTCGAGTCCAATGATACTGCAACTTAGTGGCAGTTAAAGTATTTTAGAGTGAATTGAGTTGAAATATAGATCCCAAATTAGAGTCAAAGTTGCATGTATTTATATGGAAAATAATGATCCTTGCCATTAGGACATAAACTCTATAACGGTGTATTTTTAATAGTATCAGGGCCCAGGTCACAATTAAGACAGTTTCGAATGATTTTAATATGTTTGGGACGTACTGAAATCAAAATGAAATATCTCTCTTGTGACATGAGCCCTCTCATGCATTTACTCTTATGGATCTCAAGGTCTATAATTTTCTTACCTTAGAAAAATTATTCATTAGTTCAGTTTCTCAGATTTTTACAATAGTACACGAGTGCTAACTTGACACAATCAAACCACGATTGTAATTTACATTAAACAACTCCCTGTGCTGACTTCCCAATTCCCATGCTACCTCAGCATTCAATTACGCTAAAATGCCTTTTTTTCCTCGTCTTGTGTCCTTAACTCACGAGAAAGTCTAGGGAATCATCCAACAGACTTTTTTTTTTAAAAAAATTGAAACTAGGGTGATGTCTTTTGTGTAAAAATCTTTGGTATTTTGATGTTCCCCCGTTTATGATAGAGGTCAGGCTGTAAATAAAGTTTTATAATGCATTATCAGATAATTATTTTATTAAAAAGAAATTTGTGAAATCTTTCAAAATGTATTTTACATTTCATCACTAAAATAGTCGATGACACGATAAATTTAAAGGAATTTGTTTTCTCTGCGTGGAGTGAAATCCCCGTGAAAAATAAAAAGAAGCACTTAGATGAGACTTCTTTGATACGCCGGCCTTGAGGATTGTATTCATAATCGTTCCGCAAACAACCTCTTTCCATATGGGGCTTTATATTGTCACTCCTCTGACGTAAAGGCGTATCTCGATTTTTGCTTGAGCCCTGTTTTCCATATAACGTCATGCTTTTTGGGGGTCATAACGAAATCGAGATACGTCCTAACGTCGCGTCGTCAGAGAAACGACGATATGTTTTAACTTGTGGTTAAGGGAGGTATTAAGAGGTACTTAAAATAGCATCAAAGGAAGGACAATTTTAAAGAATCTTGAGTAAAATTCAATGGCATAACTATAGTCATAGACACTCAGGAGAATACAATGATTTTCCTCAATAAAATAGATATACAAATGAAAAGACTCTCCATGTTTTGACAATCTCGATAGGTTCGCACCCACCTCAAAGCTTGTCAAAAGCATAGAATATTTTCTTCCAGATTTGTAATATTTTGTAGTAGCAAATCCTTGCATCCTTTGCAAGGATTTATTTCCGAAATTATTGCGTTGAATTTTACTCGAGATTAGCAAAAATCATCTTTTTGATGGTGCTATACTAAGGATTTCCTAAAATCCTCCGTAACCTTAATGCAAACCGCATGGAACCTGCTAAGGAAAGGAGCTGTTAAATGCGTGTCTATGAATTTGGCCCTAAGTGTGCGCAGGTGCTCAATGATGATGTGCTGGGACGTTGATGACTTCATAGGTGGTGGCGCCATGGAGGGCGGCCGAGCCCCCTTTTCGGTTCGAGAGGGCGGCCAGTGTGAGGGCGATTAAGCTCGTCATCAAAGCTTTCCCCGAAAGCATGGCCAACGAGGCGATCGTCATCATAAGTCCAGCCAGTAGACATCCCGCCAGCATAGAGTGGCCCTTGTCTTTCTTGCCTCTGCCTGCATGAGAGGACATTCATTTATTTAGTATAGTAGTAATGGACCTCAGTGCCAGAAAACCCTAAATTAAGGTATGTGTAAGTGCTAGTGCTTAAAGTAGCGTTTGCCTAGAATACAGACGTATTATACAATAAATTAATCGCCCAAAATGCCAAACAAAATCGACGTTATGATCTCTTTACGTTTTCAAACGGAAAAAATTGGTTTAAGGAAAATGGCTTGAAAATTGTATGATCTGCCCTTTTCAGTACTCAAAATTGTATGATTAAAACTTAACTCTAAGTATAAATAAACTAAGTCCTTCGCAACGTGTTCTCTTGGATACTACAAGATGCGATCTTAATCGAAAACTTGAATTTCGATTTTTCCATTCTATCTCACAAAAATCGCTGTCCTACAAGATATACTTCCGCCTGTTAAGGCCTTTTTTTGCGATTATTGGCATGTTTTCTCATAATAATTTATCGTAAAAATAATTATTGTTAACCCTGAAAATTTGAAAACTCAACTCATGAGTGACAGACTTTAATTTATTTGTGCGCAAATTCAAAATTTTCTGTCTAAAAAACCAAATTCATTTTGAGTTGAAATTTAATTCATTTCTGCTTCCATCAGGGCCGGAGTAAGGGGGGCGGTCACATGGGCTGCGGCTCATGGCGGCAAAATGTAGGGGGCGGCAAATTTTGCAATCTTTTTGAATGTAGGTATCAAAAAAAAGAGAGAGAAAAATCGGATCCAGAAATTAAATTATAAACGAGAAAAAGCGACAAAATCTCTCATTTCTTGAGAGTGAAAGTACATATAGTAATTTCTAATTTTGTCATCTTTCGGTGATACAAGAGACAACACCTTTAATTAGTCGAGTTAAGAGAGAAACCAAACACGCAATTTAACCTGAAACGGAGCGGTGCGGCGGTCGGCATAAAACGCATAGCGCCCACAAGACTGCCCGAATACTTCACGCATTGCGTCAAACACACTGCGGCCAGCAGCAGTCGGCCTGAAACGCATAGCGCCTACAAGACTGCATGAATACTTCACGCATTGCACCAACACAGTGCGGTCGGCGCGGCGGCGGAAGTTAAAATTATAACCACATTTATGTTTGTTCTTTCATAATTTTTTCGTTCGTTTTTTATAAATGGAAGGCTTTGTCCAAACAGGGATGGATTTACGGAACTGAACTTTTGTTAGTGTTGACAGAGCTTTCACAAAAAAATTGGCCAACACGAGTAAACGCGTCTCATACACCCCGCCTCCACCTAAAATACACGTTCACTTGATGGTTTTTATAGATCGTAATTGACAGATCACACAGGTGAGACTATATTGATATCGATTGGTTTAATATGTAACCACAGCCTCAAAAGTCAATTTAGAAATCTGAGGTAACGGGTCTTATGTGATCGAATTGTTATTCTCTCGAGTACCACATGGCAATGAAAAGTGAAATTGTTTGGAATTTTATCATTTTCAGCTTTTCCGAATTAAATCCTAAAATTTTTGTTTGAGGTTATGTTTTATTGTTTTGAACCAAACGATACATCGAACCACTACCGAATACGATCTATTGATGTTTCATAACGAATGAGAAAGGGGCGGAAAAATACAGGCGGCCACGGACGGCAAGTAGGTAAATCCGGCCCTGGTACCCATTGAGATGAAATTATTTTCTTTATTTATTTTTCTTTCTAATTTTTTTAAAATTATTTTCTAATCTTTCTTGACAAATTTTTGAATAACTATATCAGAAAATGTGTGTGGAATAGACTTGAATTAGTTGCCAAACGTGTTCATTCGTCCCCGAAGGTTAAAATCTGGTTTGATTTTGGTTTCTTTTTTTCTTGAATAAACGGCTTAAACTGACTAAGTTCTAATGTAAACTTTAATGCTAGTTCCTTATTGATGCGGCGATTTTGGAAATTATTAATATCGTTCATTATTTCATTAAAGGGGGTCTCCCGCCTTCATTTAAAGAGGTAGGCAAATTCGGGTCCACAGGTATCGCAATCAATAATATCCTTTCACAAATTCGATTTGAAAGCGGGAAGTTTTGCCTTTTTCTTATGAATCAGGCAAGAACTTTCCTCTAGTTCCAAAATTTGCCAAGGAAACCAAGAAACACTCAACGCACGTAGCTTAGTAAGGACATAACACTTATGTATTACACATCGTACTGCATGCATGATTCAACTAATCTTCCCAGAATTTTGTAAGTATAATCTTTCGCAAACTGTTTTAATTGATTCAAGAATACATATTACCCGAAATAAATGATTAAAAAGGTATATTTCAAGCTACTTACCTTCAACTGCTGAGTTCCACAGGGTTTTAGACCACAAAATAGGAATTCTGAGTTGCAACAATCGATTCTTGAAAAAATCCATGAGTATCTTTGTGAATGATAAATCTCCGTATCGAAGTGATAGTTTTCTTTCGCGATTTTTGAATGACTTGGGTGTAATTGCAAATGTATTGTGGTCCTTTAATTCATTTGAATTTACTCTAATCAGTTCCACTGAGTTACCTAGGATCGGAATATTCTTCGCACTTTCCTCAACTTTATAGAGAATCGATATTGACTCATTTTCTAAACATGGCCAGAACATCTTTGCTTTGTTATCCGTGCAATCACTAAAAGACTTCCAAACTTGATTCAAAGTGTCTTCAAAATCACAAGAAAATGTTTTCAGTAAAGTGAGTTCGAAAATAATCAAAATTAATTTTTTACCCACATTATAACGGCTCATTTTGATTATCACTGCGTGTATTTAAAACTTTCTTTCGAGCAAATAAAATTCACAGAATAGAATATTTTTATTTTCTTGAACAATTTTAAAAGAAGAAACTTACACGAACAATGTTGTTGAAATTATATATTTCGTAGGAAGGCGTTATTTTATGAACGAAGTCGGGAAATTTTTCGCATAATAAGCCAGAAGTAAACCTGCGCCTATAAGTAAATATCTTAAAGATCAAATTTCACAGTAACGATACGGGTTTATTATTTCATGGAAAAGATCCCTATGGAAGCCGAACTAGCAATGAAGAGTGTAAAAATTACCAGCCATGTGACAGACACTTATGACTCCCACACGACGAACTGTCCATTATGGACGACTAAATCCTTGGTCACCAAAGCAGAACTAGCGGTTTTTTGGTACAGCGAGCATTTGGTCAAGGGTAAGATTTCCAACCTCTTTGAGCGAGATGAGTGTAGACCGTCTGTCTTAAGTTTAATAAATGTAAAGAATGAATGACTTATTATGGTTGAATAGTTTTCCATGAGGAGTCCAAATGGACGAGTAGAGCTTGCTAGGTTATTTTAGGGTTTCTGTCTTGCTATTAAGAAATCGATTGACTTTCATATTGGGTGAAGTTTTGTCATAGTCTTTAATATTTTTGAGATAACATTTTGAGTCGATTACAAGATAAGAAAAATATAGAAAATGGAAATGATCTATTCAGAGACAAGGCCCTTGCACATATTTGTCAGTCAATCTGATTGACTTTCATGATCTGGACAGAAAAACTGTGTACGTGTGATAAATAGGCCTCGCATTAAATGAAACTAGACGATTTATAGATTCTGAAGCAAATGTCTCACACATTTAGTTTTTTTGTGAAGACCACCTCAAATGTTTACTTTTTTCCCTTAAGAGGAAGCGATAATCCCTCTAAAGTTATTGAATAAAAACAATTTTGATGTCATGAGTTACGCGCCGAGTAGAAATGAGAAAGAAATAGAGAAAGAAGAAGAGGGAAGAGGAAATGTTTCTATCATGATACTTCACTAAATCAATTAAAATTTTACATATTTTTTTTAAGACAAATTTTAAAGATGTTGCTTCCATATTATTGGAAGAACTGATAGCCTGTTATCAGTATATTTTGATCTGGACGGATAGCCAATTCTTCCGGTGACTTAGACCATCAAAAACTTACGCATTTTTTGTCTTAACCCTTAAATTGCTTTTTTAAGTGGTAATTGTTGTCAAAGAAAAACTTAATAGTAGTTTTTTTAGTATCCAGGCAAACGTAAGAAACAGCGGAAAGGGCAGTGGTGAGGCGTGAATGATCTATTGTTCATATTTCCCCATTTAAAGCTGTGTAAAGAATCGATCATTAAAGTATTCGTCGCGAACGCTTCGTTTATCGACCCTTTTCCCTATGTTTAAATGGCAGAGCAATGGATATATCGCAAAGTACACCACGTCACTGAAGAGGATGACGGAACTCTCGTGATGGAGAATTACTAGTGCATAACTCAAAGCATCACGTATGATTAAGCTATTCTAAAAGCAAAGAAAGGCGGTCGAGATCACAAGAGACATAGATACTGATCGAATCAAAGGGGTCAATTACGTCCTTGCATTTTCCATGCTTCGCTGACACTTCGATTATTTGCATCGGACACGATGTTTTTTCGAACGAGAAGCTCTCATAAAATCATGTGATTAAACTCCAGTGAGTTAGCTTTGGTCTACTTTTTGTTACTCGTCGTTTTGGTTGATCATAGTTATCAATAGATCCTGGCATATCGACAGTGAAACTAGAAAAACGTGAATATATCGGTTTGCCACGTTTTTTGATCTTAAGTATATTTCTTTTGCTGTAAATAATGAAATTAGAGCAAATATTTATGATGATCTAACTTAAGTTCATGGTGATGCGTAGTAACCCTTTAAAATGTATTTAATATCCGGAATCTCCTTCTACACTCAAAAAGTATGGTCTGAGTCACAGTGATCTAGGATTCTAGGCATGGGAATCATCAACAAACTATATGGTATTGGGCATCGAATTCACTATACATATAAGAATAGTTTTGCAATCGATGCAATTCGTGGAATATTTTTGAAGATGATTAGTGGTAAATAATTGACACAATTTGTGACTTTTTTTTGCATATTAGTATTGAAATCGGGCAGCCTGACGTCGCAAAAATCTTAATGTATAAGTTCAATTTGTGAAAAGAGTGAGCGCAATGGATTCCCTGTATAAATGTTGATTTTCTCGCGAACTAGCGATTTTTCAATTTCCTTCTGTCAAAACGTTAGGTTTTTGGAGAGCTCAAAATATTAGAAAGATTTGATATATCTTTTTTGTGATTGAGATCTGAACTATTTGAATTTACTTTTTGGATGATCGTCTTGGAATCTTAGAAGTAATCAAATTACATACTAGGTATCTATTCTATCTTGATTATTTTAGCATTTTATTCTTTGATTATTTTAGCATGAATCGAATGCAATTATTCTGGTACCTAATCATGTCGAGTATGTAACCTTGAAAGGAGGGATATCAATGAGGGCCTTTTTGTGGCCCACCTAAGCTGAATTTTCTCAACTCTACGATTTTTCGCTCCTTGAAGGTTTACATTTTACTGAATTCATCTTGATCTGGTCATTTCTGGTCTCTTAAGGTCTAATACTGGTCTAAACACGGGCATGTCAGCCGATTTTGGCGAAAAATTCAGCTTTTTTGCAATTCGACTGCAAACCCGAAAAACTCTCATTAGCTGCAAAATTCGACCTTTAGGCCCATGTTTAGGCTAGTATTAGACCTGAATAACCAAAAATTACCAAACTAGGATGCATTCTTAAAGAATAGATCTTTAAAGAGCAAAAAATTGAACTGAAAAAAATCAAGGTGGGCCCAAAAACGACCCTTGTTGATATCCCTTTTTTACACATGATTTGAAATATTTTGAATCGGAGTTCCGATATTACTCACCTTTTTCGAAAATTTAACTTATTTTTGAAACATTTGATCTGAATGCTTATAAACTACCACGAGGAGTGTCAGTATTCGGAATATAGCTGTGTCTTTGAGTCTAATCACAAATTTGCATTTTTTAGGTAGTTTTAATTTGCATACAAGTGAGGGGGCAAGATTTACAAACAAGGATTAAGATATTACTTGTATATTTTATGTGATTTCTACAAAATTATATCAAAGTTTTTCATACATTTCATGTGTCTGAAACAGCACATCTCCTGTTCGACGTTACTGAAACCTAGGGAAAAACTTATTCGAGTATTTTCCTGAATCACTGCACTTTCTACATTACCATACATTTAAATAAATTAACTTATGGTACTAAAAATAAACTGTACAAAAATACAATAAGTAAAAATATGGCGTAGCAAAACATCATCAGAGTTTCGCAGACAAAAATTTGTGGGATTTGTTATGATGTTACACATTACAGGAGGTTTTAAACTTTTTTGGATATAATGTTGTCACCAAAGATAGGAATATATTCAGAAAGGATAGTTTTTAGTAGAGTGTATGAAACTTGCGTTAGCCAGACTTTCTGCTTTCCAGAGAATAAGAGTCCTTAAAAAACAGACAAATTACTTTACTTAAAATTACATAAACAATTCGAGTTTGGGTCATTTAAAATTTTTAGAAAATTATGTCAATTGAGGTCTTGGATATTTTCTGAATACTACTTGTCACCTAGCATAGTAAAATTTAAAGAAATATGAATATTGGGAAATTTGGAACAGCAAAACGTCCAACTCACAGAGGAGAATTACAATTTTTTTGATAGTATCTTTTACCAGTCGCACCTTTTCATTATTTTTTGTTTCTTTCATTTGTTAAATCGGAATGGAATTAAATATTGGAATTGCTGCATTAAAACTATTTATACAATTAATATTCAAGTAGATGACTAAAAATGCAACATTTTTTCACCCTATTTATGCCAAATGAGGAGTACAGTAAAAGAAATAGGATAGTCTGATCGATATTGTCCGAAGTTTACGAGATTTCAATGTTGTCTGATCAAATAATTAAGAGCTGAATCGTTCTGACCGTTCAAACGGACAGCTGTCGATAAAGGAAAAATGTTCAGACAAAACGATTGTTTACAAATTATATTAAAAATTTCTTTAAAGAAAACTAAAAATTTGGATAGCAGCAGATGCCACTCACCTCATTCTTTTCTTGCACTCCTCAAACGAGCCATAATTTCAATCCAATAAGACCTGTCAAAATAAATAAATCGCCGCTAGTTAACCTCTTTCAGCTCAAACAATATTTGAAGAATACTTTCTTTTGCACTACACGGTCAAAATTTTTCAGATGAGTATGAGGGAAATAATGCATCAGGCATTCCAGAAGTTTGTTTTTCGAAGAAAACAATGGACACTTGAAATACTTTGCCGTATCTTATGCGTTCCATAACCAATTTTACAGTACTTAATTTAAAGTACTGTCAATTGCACAGCGTTAGCTATGGAGAATACGACTCCTACGGCATGAATCCGAAATTGGTAAAGAGTACATGGTGTTTAAGACTCTTGTCAAGATTTAAATAGTTTCGCTTTACACTATCTATTCAATGAGCCAGTTACACCAAGTTAGATTGATGTTTTATAGTCGATTAGCATAAAATTATATCTATCATATTTATCTAAACGAAACGTTTCAAAATCCATTAATGATCGGTATTGCCTATTTAGAGATTTACTATGATTGGCGTGCCTCTTGGTGGTAGTGGCACTATGATTTTTTCCACTTTGGTTTCTATATCGATTAATTATGTAAATTGTACACTTTTTGTACGTACTAGTCGCCACCGTGAAAGAGATAATGACCAGACGCATTACCTCTGTGAATGACGCCCACGTCAACCTGTTTTTCGAAAGGTGATACATCTCATTCCGTCACTCATCGAGGAAGAGCGTAAAATCAGCAAGGGTCATTGAATTTTGCCAATCTTTATTCTGTTAGGTATCGGATAAATGTTTTTTTAGTAGTGTAACTGGCCTATTGAGTTCTCTCCATTCAAATTCCGAAATGAAAAGGCAACATGACCAACCTCAGGTGGAAAAATTCGCAAAGAAGCTCAAGCAAGTTTTTGGCACATTCTAATGGAATCAAAAGTCAGAGTGATTTTATATTCGTAAAGCACTGGAACCCAAGGGACATCAGACAGATATTTGCTTTCAATGAATTACATATATTCGTATAATAAATCAGAAGCCTCAGCTGAGATAAGGCTCTCATTCAAATGGGAATCCACAAATAGGGATAATACATTTACTTGAGAGTCTAAATCTCTACGTCCTGTAAATTGTTTTGCTTCAAGATATACATCCTAAAGATTAAATTAATTTTTGTACCCCAGAGCCAAAAGGCAATAAACATAATTTTAGTCGTTTCGAGATATCAGGGGAAAACCACGCGTCGGTCCTGTTGATTCCAATGTAAATCGTAAATTAGAAACTCCGTATATCGTGACTGGCGTAAGCTGGGGCTATCAAATTGTTTACACGCAAGGGACCGTTGATGGAGATTTTGAAAACGCCAAAAACTCCATTTTTCTAAAAATGTGAGTTACGTACATTTTGACTCTGTGGTACTGATTTGAATGAATCATAATCCTGGAAACGTCATTTAGATTTTCTCTGTGTTCTTACAATTAGGTATACAAGGGAACATATAATACATTTACGTGGCATCATTTTGCCGTCACTGCTTAATATTTTCTGTTGATTCATACAGTTTTAGTCATAAAAAACCAATGCATAGGACATAGGGTCAGTTGCGCTGGTCACAGAATCGTGTTTTGATGCATAATTCTTGTAGATTAGTTAAAACTTATTATATCTGTACAAATAGCAACTTTCTACTTTCTATAACAGCCGAAATATCCGTCTATAAAAGTTGGGTTATCGACGTCATCCACCGCGGGAGCGACACCCTTGGTTTCTTCCATCTTGCTTGCATCCAAGTTTCACGTTAAATAACCAGTGCAAATGAGCATCATACCGACTGATGAAAGCAAGGTGGAAGAAAAGGGTGTCACTCCCGCGGTAGATGACGTCGAAAACCAGTCTTTTTAAAGGGCGATATCTCGGTTAATATTGAACGTAGAAAGTTACTGTTTGGACTGATCTTATTATTTTTAGCTAATCTAGAGGAATCAATTCCCCAGACGGCTTAGGCCATGGGGTATTTTGGGCGTGGTAAAGTTTTTTGTTCAAATTTTATGTGTGATTTTATCATCAATAAACGCTATTATTATTAGAGGAATCAAGCATCAAAAAATGATTTTGTGACCAATTGACCCATGATGAACGTTAAAAAATACATAAAATTCCTTGGTGGATTGATCGGTTCATGAAATTCTAGCTGTGACACTCAAGGCATTCCTGACTTGCAAGGAACGGTTCTTACACCATATTTTAAGAGTGTGAAAATAACTTGCAGGTTATATTAATATTCAATTAACGATTACATGTGAGAACTAATTTGTTACGAATGACATCTTGTCTTGACATATCTGTTGGTAATCAAAATTTTTGCATAGCTTTCCTCAACTGTTTTCAACGTTCCCTAATTAGTGGTTCGTGACGAGAGTCTGAATGACTGATGGGTCCCTTATTCTTGGCCGCTTTTGAAATGCTCTCGCATAGATAATCTTTATAAATACCATTTTGAAGAATCATTTCCTGAGAAATAGATGCATAATTCAATTTAACCGTTCTTCATTCAATATCATTTGACTTCCTAAAAGTTACACATTTTGATTCTGCAAATACTATTGCGAATTTTTCCTCCCTTGATCCTTGTGACGTTACGGCCGAAACGGAAGTGAGTTAGATTTTTGATGGAGATGGAAAGCCTCTGAGCCATTAGCAAGTCCCAGTTTTCAATATGGCAGTCAAATGTGTTTGCCTGACGTTGAATTCCACTTGGAGTCAGCGGTCATCTTTTTTCAACGTTCAGTGCCTGTAAAAGGTAAAACAGAGATTAGTAAATAGAAATAACTAGCTCAAAAGATGTTTTAGCCCATCTTAAAGCTTCAAACGATTCACTATGATGGAGTGGGTATGTTTCTTATGTGAAATCAACCGTGGAATCAGCCAATTTTTAAGTTATTTCTTCCAATTAGATGGTGAATTTGACAGCATTTTTTGGTTGTTGCAAAAGTCAGGTGGAAATTTCGTTAAATCTAACATTCCATTTCGGTGCTTCTTTGAAATTTTCCAACCCGGGTCTCAACCCGCTCAATTCAACAAATAATATTAATATGTCAAAATAATTGGATTTCATTCTGCAACAAGGAACCCCTATCTCTGGCTCTTCCATAAAAGCTCATTTCTGCATGGGGAAACCAATGGACCAATGGAAATATGATGTTTCTGAAATGAGCCAGAAATAGTGGTTCCTTATTGCAAAATGTGGTCCAATTAAAACGCTTTCACTATTTTGAATATTTTCACAAATTAATATAACAGCTTTTACTGTTTTTTAGATATTCGATCGTTATTTTAGAGTCAACAAATAACGATTAAATTTATTAGTTGGTGGTGCGATACGGGTGCAAAAACGGAATCATCGGTATGCCAGCATCACGATACAACAATAAGTCGGCATATCACACCTCGACCGAGGTTTTCTAATATCATGGATATTTTTCAGACGTCCGTCATGGCGCGGAGAGTCCTAAGTATGTCAACAAAGCATCATATGCCGAGATGCGGCCTCGAATATTGGCGGAAATATGGTTTATACATGCTGCCGTTCGCTAACAATTCGGCCTAATTTACAGTCTGATGACTGTGTTCGTGCCAGTCATGCCGCGAGACGCCTGCGCTGTGTCCGTCGCCCAAAACCGTGGCCGCACCGCGCCCCTCCGAGCAAGAACCACCTAACAGCATCGCGGTTCCCTATGCGGTGACGATGCTTTTGCCGAGCGCGTCGGTGAGCCCGCGCACCCGTTACTCCTCCTCCGTCGACTTGCGTCCACGGAGTATTTGCGGATGATTCGTTTTGTGTTCTGTGTTGTGTTCGGTGCATGGTGAACATCATTGTTGGTCGGTGCTTTCCACCGAGTCTTCCTTCACCGCACCGTGTTTTCTTCCTTCGATTGCCACCGGCGTTGCCGCTCAGGGCACTCGACAAAAGATTTCATAGGCCTTGAGCAACGTAAACGGTAAAGGTAAAAGTTGAGCCGTCTACTTATGATGTAAATGCTGCCGCGTCACACGGAAAAATCAGATTATCTCTGAGACACTAAATTTTGGGATGCACCTAAACTCTGCAAGTGTTGGACATTAAAGTTTGTGCCACGCATTACACTGTGTGAGGGGGCCTCCTATTTCAATTTCCTGAAAAACGAAGAACTTGTTCCATAAAATGTTTTGCTGCAATCCAAAGTAATGGTTTGATTTTTGGACTTACTGCCTCTCTCTTTGATACTGGGAAAAGAACGAGTGCGCGTAATGGGACACATAAGTTGGACTGCATTTTGCAATTGGGAACTATAAATTCTGGCTCTTCTAGAAAAATACTTTTGTGCTTAAGGAAACTAATGGCATATACGTTGTTTTTAAACCGGGCTAGAATTTTTAGTTCCAAATTGCAAAATGTAGTGTAGTTTAGGTAAAAGTATTTCTTTAACCCTTCCACATTTGACACACAAAGGAGTATGCGTGCCCCATTTCACTCCGTACCCATGCGGGCCCTATTAAGCGTCAAGCCCACTTACAAACTAGAGGCTTCAAAGAGGTTCATCGATGCCTCTCCTGGCCTACTCATTTGCCAGCGGTTAAAGTCGGGGCAATCGATGAGTCTCTTTGAAGCTTCTAGTTTGTAAGTGGGCTGGACGCTTTACTGCGTGCTGGTAGTAGGCTCCCTTACAATGATGGTACGTGTTGGACATAAACTTCTGTGCCCGGACCTGGAGGATTTAAGTTAATTATAATTTTATGGAAAATTTTATGTCCCATAATCGCTTAACTTCAATCCTTTTTTCTGTGCACCAAAGAGATTTGCAGTAAATCCAAAATTGTGGTTTCGAGAAAACAGATATATTTGTGCAGAAAATTTTATTTTTTGAGCCATCGGTTTTTTAGGAAAGAATCAATGATCAAATAATATCCGGACATCGTCTGGACAATGAAGTCCTAAGTTGTCTGATTATACTTTCAACTGTAAAAGAGGGATTTACTGTTTCATATTAGGCAAGATCTGCGTGGTCAAATTTTTAGGAAAGCATACATCAATTTGTCTGAATGGAGGTCTGAATGGGAAATAATGGGGACGTCTGGAACATTGCGAGTGCACGCCTCGCGCATAAGCGCCTTCAATTTTGCACACGCAACACGGACATCCATCAAGTACGAATAGTTGTATGTCTGCGCCGTCATCAACGCGTGTCCTTTCCTTGCTCCATATTCATATTGTGTTCGATCCGAACTGTCTCGTTTGTAAGGGCGGTTCTAAGGCTACGTGAGCAACACAGTCCAAGATAGGAGAGACGGAAACCAGCCTCGTTGTTTTATTTTACTCCCAAATCTAATCGACCTCTCATTAGCAGCATGAAACGAAGCATCGTGGGTTCACGCCTCGCGCTGAAGCGCCTTCAATTTTGTACACGCAACACGGACATCCATCAAGTACGAATAGTTGTATCTCTGCGCCGTCATCAACGCGCGCTCTTTCCCTTGCTCTGTACCCATATTCTGTTTGTTTCAATTTTGTAATCACAATCATTTTTCTCCTTCTTATTTGCTCTCAATATTAAATATGTGCCAATTAATACGACATTTTTATTCAATAGCATCTTCAAAAATTAGTTTCAGATTACATCAATCTATTGAAGTATTTAATTTAAGATCAACGCATTTAAGTTTTATATCATCTTTCCAAGAACGAATTTTCTTACGTTTAACCGTATTAAAGTCGTTTATTTCAATTAATTTGTTTGGCTTTCAAAGCTTGGCGGTCGTTCTTAAGTTATTAAATAAGCCTCTAGTTGGCAATCAGTTAACTCTCAGCATTATTTCCGAACCGATCAAACCACACTGAAAAAAATGAGTTAGCGTCAGATGACTAAAAATGGTTTCTATACACTAACTCAAATTGTGTGATTTGGACACACATGATTTTTGGTTTCTGTACACTAACCACTATTAGTGCTGGAAACTAATTCCGCTACTCTAATTCGCATTCGGTAGGGTTGGGTCAACCTAACCTCAAAACTGAGAGAGGAGAAAACGGCTTAGCGAATGATAACTGGACAATACTTTCAGGAAAAGAAGATTTCTTAAAAGATGAGAGGTTAAAATCAACTGACCGGTTCCAAATGAACGACAGAGGAAAGGAATATCCCATAGGTATGTGCAAGTAGACAGAATTATCCTTTAGAGAGACACACACTCATACATGAAACGGTAGCGAATGTTCACACTGAATAAACATATCTCGTCCGAACACTTGAGATATTCTTTTGAAATTACGGGAGAACACGAACTATAGAAGTAAGCAGTAAGTTCACAGATTTTCGTAAAATATAAACTGAACGCGGAACGCTTTAATCGCAATTTAATACAGAAGATTGACGACTCCAACGAATATCATGCTTGTTTACGTTTTGAATCGAACAGACGATTTCTAACCTTAACAGGTTTATTTATGTTGCTTTCGAACGTTTTCAAGAAAGAGAGGACACTATAAATCATACCGGGAGTATTTACATTGTCAAACGAGCCCGAAATTTCACATTTTAATTGATTTTCACGAGCTGACGCGATTGAGGCTGTTGTACCGACGCCACTTTTTCGAAACTAAATAAATGTAACGGACAATGTGGCAGTTAGTGTTGAGGGCGAATTAGTTTGACCCGAAGGTGAATTTGTCTTACCACAGCGCTAATTTTACAGCTAGTGCTGTTTTCCAATTCTGGTTCGCGCTCTAGTAAAGTCAAGTCAGCGTATGAAGCGAATTAATTGGTGCTTCAGTACAATAAATTAGTTCTGAAGCCTAATTTTGATTCTACTTGGCGAGAACCAACCAAATTAGTTCTCAACGCTAACTACTTTTTTTTCAGTGCAGTATAGGGGCAAATTTTAGATAAAGTTCCTTTGCTCGAAGGAAAGTTTAACAATGCATTAGTTTTTTAAAAAGCTATGGGCTCTATCTGCCTTCCTAGAATTACTGCCTCTTGAGATCACATCGTTGTTTATATTCTCAAGTGATTCTTAAGAATCGGTAAAAACATTGGATTGACTCGAAAACGTCAAGGGACTTCCATTCCTAGACAAAATAAAAATAAATTAACGAAAAAATAAGTATTTGAATTAAAAAAACAAAAAAACAACTGAGATAGATTAGCTCAATGTCAGGTTCTTAAAATGCAGGACGCGTGAAAAATGTCCATTGATACGGCTGAAATAAATTTAAACGTCGCCTATGAGTTTTTCCCTCTCACAAGCATCTCATAAAGCTGTTCTAGAAAATTCATCTGTTTTTTTAGTGAAACATTTTACCAATCGGTTTTAAATAGGCTGATCTTTTTTAGATTGGAATGAGATACGTAATTATAAGGAAGAATGCTGAATAATCGTCGAAGATTCTTCCAGACAAGTACTTAGCAATGCCAATGATTCCGCTTAAACATAAACACCATAGCTTGTCAACTCATTTGTTTCCATTCATTTTCCTCATTTATTTTTTGTATCCTGGTGGCAAAATACAGCTGTCATCTTAATGGCATTTCCTTTGATGCATTTTAAAGAGAAAGTAAAATTCAAGCTAGGATACATTTTTATCCCTCAAATTCCGGTCCTCGCTGCTGGAGGTTCAATGGCCACCTTTGAGGGGTTTCGAGATCGTCATAAGTCAAGTATAAATTAAGCGTATTTACATCGTAAAGAACCATATCCATGGAGCTCATGGTGGCATTGTGATTTTTCAGCCTTGTGTTATTATGAGTCTCTGGGCCT